GACTGGGGAAATTGTTGGATAATTGGAATGGCAGCCACAAGGAGTTTACATCTGAGTTGCCAGACAAAGAGGAGTGGACCACTATGCAGAAGATTAAAAGGAAAAATGGTCCTTGGGAAAGGTTTTTGAGAGTATGGTAATATGCTAGGTCTTAGGAACACAGTGGTGAGTAAAACAGACATAGTGCCTGCCCCCATGGATCTCACACTCTGGTTTCTTAATTAATTTGTCCTAGAGCAGGGAGAAACTGGAGGACAGAGGAAAACAAGTAAGGATGCTAGCGTGGTAATTCAGGTGTGAGGTCAAATCTGGATTTGTCTTCAAGGAAAAAGAAGCTGTAGGACTTGATGCCTGATTAGAAAGAACTAGGGGATGTTGGAAGAATGTGACTTGAATCTACACTTCTGTGCTGAAGATATTATATATATGGAACTGGGAGGAAGAAAATAAAATTTGGATTTGACAGAACAAAGTAGCATATAGTTTAAAGATAGCTTAAGAAAGGATAATACAACAAAAGGACAAATAACCCAATTTTTAAAACGATAAAGGACTCAAATTAACACTTCTTCAAAGAAGATATACATATACATACATATACGTTGCATGAATATGATATATTCATACAATGGAATATTATCCAACCATAAAAAGAAATGAAGTTCTGATGCATGCTACAACATGGATGAACCTTGAAAACTTTATACCATATAAAAGAAGCTAGATACAAAAGGACAACTATTGTATGATTCTACTTAGGTGAAATATCTAGAATAGGCAAATCCATAGGGACAGAAAGTAGATTAGAGGTTACCTTGACCTGGGAGGAAGGAGGTGTCCCAATGTATTTGTGCTGCTATAGCAGAATACCTGAGACTGGGTAATTTATAAAGAACAGAAATTTATTTCTCACAGTTCTGGAGGCTGGGAAGTCCAAGATCAAGGTGCCAGCATGTTTGGTGTCTGATGAGGGCCTGGTCTCCACCTCCAAGATGACGATTTGAATGCTGCATTCTCCAGAAGGGAGAAAAGTTATTTCTTACACGGAAGAAGAGCAAAAGAGAGAGAGGGAACCCTCCCTGCAAGACTTTGTTACGGTGGCATTAATCCGTTCATGCGGGCCAGGCCTTCATGACCTAAACACCTCCTAGAAGGCCCCACCTTCCCAACACTGTTGCATTGAAGATTAAGTTTCAGTATGAGTTTGGGAGGGGACAAAAACATTCACACCATAGCAGGGGGAATGGAGAGTTATTGCTTCATATGTAGAGTTTCTGTTTGGGGTGATGAAAGGATTATAGAAATAGTGGAGACGGTCGCACAACACTGTCAGTGTAAATAATACCACCAAATTGTACATTTAAAAATGGTTAAAATGGTGAGCCTTATGTTTTATCTATATTTTTTGGTAACAAAAATTTTTTTTTAACTGGAAAAGAGAAAAGAAAGGGCAAGAGTTTAAGACAACAGATGTGGAATTAGGATTCACCTAGTGGCGGATAGACTTGAAGACATGAGAGTAGGCAAGTTCTCTAAGTGTAATGAAAGCACAGAGGGAAAGGGCAGAGCCTCAAAGGACACCCACAGTCAGGGTGCAGAAAGGAGAGGAGGTGCCCACAAAGAGGGCAGAGGAAGAGGGAACATCAGCTGTAATTCTAGCCCCACAACGGAATGCTTGGAAAGCTCCCTGAGGCAGTATGTGACCAATGGGCGTGGACTGAGAAGTTTGTAAATCCTATCAAAATGTGAGAAGTGAGAGAAAGTAAGGAAGAATTTGTTTAATTTTTCTTAAGCCACTATCTTTATGCTGACAGACCTCTATTAATTTCCCATATTTCAGAGAGGAAATGAGCAAGGCCTTTCCATTTTCTAGGACTTTTCACTAAGACTTTATTCAATATGGCTTTCTCCACAAGAGGGGGGACTCCACAAGGTTAATAAAGAAATAGGCAAAATTTGTCTTTGGAGAGTCTTCTTGCGTTTTTTTTTTTTGAGACAGAGCCTCACTCTGTTGCCCAGGCTAGAGTGCCGTGACGTCAGCCTAGCTCACAGCAACCTCAAACTCCTGGGCTCAAGCGATCCTCCTGCCTCAGCCTCCCGAGTAGCTGGGACTACAGGCATGCGCCACCATGGCCGGCTAATTTTTTCTGTATATTTTTAGTTCTCCAGCCAATTTCTTTCTATTTTTAGTAGAGACGGGGTCTCCCTCTTGCTCAGGCTGGTCTCGAACTCCTGAGCTCAAACGATCCGCCCGCCTCGGCCTCCCAAAGTGCTGGGATTACAGGCGTGAGCCACCGCACCCGGCCTCTTCTTGCTTTTTATCCTTCTTTCTTTTCCACCCAATTCACAATGTTTTTCTGGAAAAGATAATGTATGTCCTCATATTTAATAATTTCTCTCAAGGTCTGTGATAGCCCAGCTATTATTCAGTGCCCTTGTGCTTGACATTTTCTTCCCTCTTCTTCTCTGCTTTTCTACTTTTCTGTACCACTGTGTCTTCTCACCTTATGCCTTCTTGTCCGTGAAACATTCCTACCTTCTTCCCTGCATGACAAAAGCAGAGTTCAAACACACAGGAAGGGGCTGGGCACAATGGCTCATGCCTGTAATCCCAGCACTTTGAGAGGCCAAGGCAGGAGGATCACTTGAGGCCAGGAGTTTGAGGCCAGCCTGGACAACATAATGAGACCCCATCTCTATAAAAAATAAAAAAATTAGCCAGTCATGGCAATGCATGCCTATAGTCCCAACTACTTGGGAGCCCAGTCTGGGTGACAGAGTGAGACCTTGTCTTTAAAAAAAAAAAAGAGAGCATAAATTGGTGCCATGGTTGTGGCATGTCTTCTTGCGTGTTATTATAAAATTTAAAACCTCACGATATCTCTTATTTTAAAAGTAAAATTAGTTATACTCAACGTTAGTACAGTGTAATGCTGTGTAGTTCACAGATCATTTTTTACATCTGTAGTCTCACTCTGATCCTCACAGCAACTCTTTGACTTTTAGGGGAAATTTCAAACTAAGTTTACTAGACATTCTCTTAGGTTGGCATTAACTTTTAATACTTACTAAAATACCTTTCATTTATTATCTCAAGAAATTCTTTAAGCAGAGTTATTTGTTCTCTTTTTATATTTTGTAAGCCTGAAAGTGAGAGGAGGGGAGGGAATATTTGAGAAAGAAAAGAATAAAAAATAAGGTCATTGTCAGAAAAGCTTGCCTCATTCCTCTGTAAAAATATGCCAAGAAATGGAAAACAAGATATTTTCATTTCTTCATTCCTATACTTTGTGGAGGAAAACAGGCATAATATGATATTGCCAGTTCGAGATGTTACTAGTACGTGCATTCTGATTTCAATCACGTGGGGTGTGTGATGTATAAGCAGACACTGTGGATATTTAATAGCTGATATAATTATTACATCATTTCTATATATTAAATTTTGAAAGTCAACATGGAAAAATGTATTTGTTCAAATAAAATATCTGTCTCTACCGTTCCCTCTAAGCAAACAAACAGAACTTTTCGTCACAAGCTATTGACTGTGGCAAGTGACTGCCTACCATGAACACATTCCAGATTTCTGACAGAGGAGGAATTGTGTTGAGCCCTCTAAGTAAACTTGTGATCCTCTCAGTCACCTCTCAACGATTGACAGGCTGATTATCCAGTTCCCAGACTTACACGGACCTTTTGCTTTTCTTCTCTCTCTGCAATTTTTCGCTCTCCTTCCTTCTAATTTCAAATCTCATTATTACCTCCAAAAGAAAAAAGTGTTCTAAGGGAAAAATTGGCTGATTTAGTTTGGAAAAGTTTGCAGTATTTTGGGTCTGTTCAACTGTTTTTTGATGGGGAGAATATTGTAAATATTGATTAGAGGTTGGGGATTACCTATGAATTTTAATGATCTCATTAGCCATAACTATAGGAGGTTAATTTGTGTATAGATTCTTTATAGACAGCCAACTTCACAGTCTAAACAGTTCTATTTACTAATGTTTAAATTATAATTTGTAATTCACAAGCGAGAAGGGAAAACCATAGGTTTAAAACACCAGACGTGTGTTGCATTTCAACTTTCATTGGCTGACAAGGTTTTGTGAAAATGGTGGGACTTGAACTAAGCCATATTTTTAAAAAAATTGTTGGGTTTAGATCAGTGGGGGATGGGGAGGAGAGACAATATTTCAAGAAAGGGAACAATACCAGTGAAAGCACAGAGAAAAGCCTGAGAATTCACTACACATCCAGGGGAGTGTAAAGAAGCCGCCTTGGCAAGAGCAGAGAGCTCTAAAAAAATAAGGCGAGGCCAGGATAAGGGAGGCTTTGAAAAGAAGGCACAGGAGTTAGAATTTGATTCAGTGGAAAGTAGGCTGCAGTTAGACTTTTGAGGAGAAGAGTGACATGAAGGAAGTACTGTTCGGGAAGGCTTGACCAGGCAGCAGGACTACCGAAGGGAACATGGGAGAAGGACAGGCATCCACTGTTGTGATTATCTCTGTGGCATCTGTTTCCTTGGCTTGGAGTTGTGCCACCTTTCAACAAGGCCAAGATTTGGTTTCGCATCATACTTTGAGAAAGTTCTAATTCAGGAGTGGGAGAAAAGAGAATTCGTATGTTTTGAGTCCTTGTTGTAGCATGCCAGACACTGCTAGAAGCTTTCCATACAACATCTTACTCAATCTGCACAAAACAACTCTGTTGAAGTAGTTATCGTTAACCCCATTTTAGAGAGGAGGCAACGGAGTTAGGTAACTTGCCTTTGGTCATATAACTATGAAGTGACAGGAGCAGGTTTCAAACTCATGTCTGACTCCAAAACTCTTGGTCTTTCCCCTATACCTAGACTCTTTCAGAGTGTGGATAAAATAAAACTGTTGTTGTATTCATAAATTGTGTTCAGCGTTTATCAAAATAGTCAGCTGGATTTTGAAATACTGCCATCTTATCTGAAAAAGGCTGCCTTTCCTAGACCTGAATGTTGTCTCTCTGTTTAGCTCTTCAGCCGTCTACGTAAGAAGGGGTAGGCACACTCCCTCCATCATTTTTAGAAGACCTGAAGAAGCTGTCTTGTCTCCATCGTCACCTTCTGTGGAAGACACAGGATTACCTTCTTATGAACAAGCAGTGGCACTGACCAGAAAACACAACGTTTCACCGCCACCACCATATCCTGGGCCAGCAAAAGGATTTAGGGTATTTAAAAAGTCTATGTCTCTCCCGTCTCACTAAGTCCACCTGGCCATCTTGGTATAAGAAATTCATGTTATTTAAATGGTTTGTTCTCCCTGAACCAAAAAAGGCATATGCATTCAGCTCTTTATGATAAACTACAAGGAATAAAGGAGGAATGAGCACATACATTGCACCACAGACGTTATGTCTGCAACTTGAACCTGAACTTGATCATTATCAGCTTGATAAGAGACTTTGACTCCACGTCCTTGCAGATAAGAAGAAAGCACTTTTTTATGTTCTCATGGTTCAAAAAAAAAAAATCTTTGTTATGGATAGCATAGTTAAAACTAGTGAACTGTTTGTATCCTTTGTACAGATAAAGGTTGTGCATTTCTTGTGTTGAATATTTTAAAAGTAAGAATTTCTAATCATTAAGATTATCCAAAATCATGGTATTGAGGCCGGGC